AAACACATTCCGAGTTTCACCTTAGTTACTCAGTTGTAAGGGCAATGGGGAATTACCTTCAACAACAATTGCTCACTTGGGAGGTCTGTTTTGATTTTGTTTTATCCAAACAAGTGAGTTAAGTTAAATCTAGGGAAAACTGTCAATTTGGTCCTCGTACTTTCATGCAAAAAATCAATTAAGTCCTCGTACTTTTAAAAATATCAATCAAATCCCCGAACTTTGTAAAAACGTTCAATTAAGTCCATTTGCAAGGTATTTTCCATGTCAGCAGGTTACATGCTGACGTGGCACACATGTGGCAGACCAATAATTTTGCTGATGTGACACACATGTGGAAGTTTAGTCAGCAATTTGTGGATGATATGGCACACACGTGGACCGCTGACGTGGCACACATGTGGCAGACCAATCAATGATAATTTTGCTGATGTGGCACACATGTGGAAGTTCAGTCAGCAATTTGTGGATGATATGGCACACACGTGGACCGCTGACATGGTGAGTAACCTGCAAATGTATTCAATTAAACGTTTTTACGAAGTTCGGGGATTTGATTGATTTGTTTTAAAGTACGAGGACCTAATTGATTTTTTCATGAAAGTAAGAGGACCAAATTGACAGTTTTCCCTTGAATATGTTTTTTCAAACAAGTGAGTTGAGTTAAATCCAATTGAATTTGTCTTTTAGTTTCAATATCATCTTCCCTTAATCATGAGATAACCTTTACTTAGTCATTTTCTCGATTTTTTTCCTTTTTCTTTTATAATGAACATAGAATTCAAAATTGTGCAAAGTTTTAACTTTGATTTTATTTTCTAACCGATTGTCATTCACATGGCAAACCAAATTTGAGGGAAAAATATATATTTTCAAAGGCGTGCCAATTGGTTTCTTTTTCTGCTTTGATAACCGGCACATATATAGCGCTTTCCCTCATGCTATGTTGCCTCCTTGTCTAAGCGTCACTTGGTGTGGTTTGGGCGTTAGCGCCTAACGTTTTTTGTAATGAAATGAGTATTGTGATAAACATGTAATAAATATGCTTGATATAACCTTTGTTCATTGGATTCCCCTGAGACACTATTGGCATTGCTATTGGGGGTATGATTGTAAACCATAAACTATGGTCTCAAGGTTGACGTTTTTGCTGCCACCCTTTTTTATTAGATAAAAGTGGATTCTTATAGAAAGTATATTTGTTGCAGAATATATTTACCCTTCAATGTATAAAATCATCACAGCTTATTGGAGAGTAGCCCTGAGCCCCTGGAGGTCATGTCTTGTTTGTTCCTGATTGACCTTACGTTGGTGTACGAGGTCAGTGTCGTGACCGACCCCGACCTGGGGGTGTTCGAGGTCGGGCTCATATTTTGTCATATCTTGACGATTCCCGAGCTCGGTATTTTACCAACCTCGGGGTCGGGGGTCGAGGTCAGGCAAGCCTTCCGTCCTTTGTCACTTCGTCGCCCGGCGCTTAGTCCTGAGCTTGGTAATTTCCCGACCTCGGGGTCGGGGTCGGTGCGCTTGAGGTCGGCCTCGCAGTTTGCCTTGTCTGATCAATATCTGAGCTCGATGTTTTCCCGACCTCGGGGGGCGAGGTCGGGCTCGGATGTAACTCTGGTGCTTGGTCATTTTGTGATGTCTTTGTGGCCTTTGACCGGCGATTGTGATACCTTTGGGTATATGAGAATATACTCCATCGGAAATATTTAAACATTAATTACAATTTTGGTTTCACATTGTAATTATTAAAGTTTAACAATTACATTTTTGCACTTGATATAGAGCGATACTTAAAGAGTAAGAGAGTTACTTGCAAACTTAAAACTTAAATTAATTCTATATATTGAAAGTAATAAAAAGTTAAATAGAATCTGATCTAAGTGCTTAAGATCAATGTTATTTGTGACACTGGATCATATTTTCATTTGACTCTATCTTTATGTATGTGCGTAAGTTTGTATATATGCACATCTATATATGTAGATATACATACTTTTATTCTTTGTGTGAATGTGTGTATATATGTAATCACCAGACTTAGGTAAATGCTAACATAAAACGTTATATTGATCTAGTTTTCAAAAAATGGCGCACGGTATTGCACAAAATGGTGATAAATATATACTACGGTAGAATAATACTATGAACAACTAATGATGTTGAGAAAGGTGTTTGAAAATAAATAGAGGGTTTTGGGGTATCACAACAAAACTCTGCACATGAACTAAGAACAACTAATTTTCTCCCAATTTGAGGAATAAAGGGATATGAATCATTCTTTCAGAATGTGTAATGATACTCACCTTATCGTCATTCAACTCGAACACATATTATTGAGGCTCACACGATATCAGGTTCATATACACGACGAAAGTATCTTATTCCAAAACTTAATTGACTCCATCTGACTTGAAGTTACCATTTAAATTTCAATGGAGACAATTACCTTTGACCCTTAGTTACACAATGACCATAAAAAAGTCAACGATGGTCTTTGGAGAGGGTTGGTGTTTGTTAGGTCCCATAGATTTTGATGACTAGGTTTTCATGATGCCACCCTTTATTAACAACACTTGGTCTGTAATATGTTGTGTCTTATTGCATTATGTGTTGAAAAAGAGAAAGTACTCAAATCAAAAAGAAAGAAAAACAAGAGAAGAGTAATAAAAAGAGAAAAGGAAAGAAAAATGTACCAAAACAAAGAAAAGAATAAAAAAAATAAAAGAGGTACAAAAAAGAGTCAATTGAATCCCTTTATAAACTCAACGAGTAGCCTACTGATAATTTTCCAGAAATATCAGCAGACTACTGATTCCATTCAAGTATTCAACCAAGGAAACCGAGGCCACTGAATTTAAAACTACTCTTTATTCTTCGCCACAAAACAAAAGAAAATATACAAATGCATGACCATGGGACCCACTAACCATCCAACAAGAAAGGCAAGAGTAATTTCTATAATGTTTTTTCACTAAATTATTTAGTACTATTATTCTTATACTTAAGAAGGCAAGGACCCATAAAACGAGAAGCATTGAACCAACGACAAACAACTTCAAGCTTTGTATCAAAGATTATATCTACGGCCAAGATTAAATCATAAAAACTTAGCTACATGCCTTGAAATGCGAAATTCAGAACGCAAGTTGAACAAAGATCACAACTCGTGCCACGAAAGACAAGAATCAACCATGCCGGCCCAAACACCAAGTGGATCATTCAAGTGGATCAATAAACGATCAAGATTGAATCTCTTCAGCCAACAGAAGGCTTTCAACAACTCAGTCTATAAATACAGAAGACGTACATGAGAACTAAGTGTAGAGCTAAGAAGGAAAAGCGACCCTTTACAACATATCCAGCAAGGAGCAAATGTTGATCATCAATCGTCTTCTTAGTTATCATCCCACTCCTCTAAGCTCTTAGAATAATTCATACACACACATATCATTAGAGCTTAGGTAGTTGGACGTTTAGCTTTACCGTTGTAAACTAAACTAGTTTGTAATCTCTAGAGGGCTTTGTGATCAAGTCCAGAAAACGTGTGAGAAAAGATCAAGGACATGAGTAACTTTTGGCTAGTCAATGTCATTAGTGAAAAACCTTGGAGAAGTGAGTAGCTTGGAATAGTGAAAAACCTCACAATCTATGCCTACGACCAAGGGTAGATTGTGCACTAAATGTAATGGGTATATTCATTTAGTGGAAATCCATTTGAAAATGGATGGGACTGGATGTAGGAGAATTACAATTACACCACCTATGAACTAAGATATACTATCCTCCGTCTCTTTTTAATCGCAACATGTTGAATTTTACACTATTCACATGTTCTACTTTGACTACATTTTATATTATTATTTTATGAAAATTATTTTTTAAAAAAAATATTGTTCAAATCATCTCATTACAAAATTTCAAAATCTAATTTTTAAATATTTTTTACTAATAGAGATTAAGATATAATTACGGTCAAAGACGTGCATTGGCAAGTGTGAAATGTTGACAGTTGCAACTAAAAAAGAACGGAGGAAGTATCTTTTTTTATATTCAATTCACATATCACCAACCGTCCTCAACCATTCCCACATCTATCCAAACTCTTAAACAACTTACTGAATCATTGAAAGGGAGCCTTTCTCCAAATAGATCAAAATCCTTCATGCTTATGTGTTTTGTCAACTCAAAAAGCCCAAAAGTATTTTAAGACTATAGCCCTTCACTATACCTAAAATAATCGAACAGTAACCTCATCACAGTTGTCTGCTGAATGCGGCCACTGATTTTGACAAGCACATATGGTCATTGTTTAAACCATCTTCGACGAAACTAAAATGATCATAACCTTTGTTACTATAAAGTGTCACAATATATGAGGTCAAGATTTCCGTTGTATTTTTTAATATTTCTCAAAATTATTGGAACTCACTCTATTAGAGGAAAAAAGGTTGACAAAAGAAGAGATTTAAAAGTCTATTAACCTCCCTCTAGATTTTTACCTCACTTGGGACCATCAATATTTTCTTACGTTGCTCGGTTTTCATCCGACCGCAGTCTCAAGAGTAGTGTTTGCTTCTGAGTTGAAGTTTATTACTTCATTTGTCCTGAATTGAATTATATATGATTTGCGGTTTTAAAAATTGATTGACAAGAATTAATTTGAATGCGCTCCCGATTGAAGTTTTAGCTGAAATTTGGTATGAGTAAACTAGACTTGACGAATAAGATGCTAAAAAAATTTCATCAAAAAATTCCACCGGGAATCGCCCCAAATCGCGACGGACGGACAGAGCCTCCTATATAAAAACTTATTTGACTTTTTAATGAAAGTTCGAAGACCTATTTGACAGTTTTCCCATACATTTCTAATACGATAGGTTCTACGTATAAAGATTTTTTTCCTTGTACTATTTTCAGTCCCAGACCAGACAAAACAACACTTCAATTTTTTACTTGTACTATTTTTTACTTGATCAAACGTAATTAGACCACACCAAACATTTACGGGAGTAAACCATCCAAACACAGCCTCCAATCTTGGCAGTAGGGTTGATCAAGAAGACACCGAGTCACCGACTCAGCCTATTTTGACACAGTAAAAATCTGACATTTTATATACTCGCCGCCAACGGCGTAAACGCAATTCTGTATCCAAAATCCAACCTTGGAAGAAATGCCGGGTTTAACTTGCAACGCCTGCAACAAAGAATTCCATGACGAATCGGACCAGAAGCTCCATTACAAATCCGAATGGCACTGCTACAATCTCAAACGCAAGGTTATAACCTTTACTTTCTTCGCTTCTCCATATGCAGCATATAGAATTTCGGATTGCATCGGCCTTCTCTTAAGAATTGGCTAGAAAATGAAGTCTAAGATAGTGTTTGTGATGAACTCATGAACCTAATTGTAGCTTAACAAACTGGAATTTTAAGAGCCTGCTGAATACCCTGCAGTAATGTGAATATGAATCGTAGAAATGATTGTTTATTGTTAGGTCTTGCACAAGAGTAGCTTGGAATGAAGAGTAGACTAGGAAACTTCATGCTTAACTGCTTATACTACAGTAGCGCCCATTCCGATATGGTTAGGGGTTGTGGATCATATTAGAATCTTCCTAGGATATTATTTGATCATTTAGAGGAAGATTTTTTATTCATGGGGGTGTAACAGACTGCAACCAATTAATTAACTCTATAATAGGTAAGAATTAAGATACATATTTGAGGTTAAGATGGATCAAGCAAAAGAAAAGAAGAGTTGCGGAGGATGTTTTAACCTCGCTGGATGATAGAAGAGGATAAATAGTTTTAGCAGCTCTGCGGGTGTTGTTCCCCTACTGCAGAAGTGCAGAGTAGCTCACAGGTTATTTCTGGGTGTCGCACTTTATGAGTTATTATTAGGGCTTTATGAGATTTAGTTTGTACTGCAACTTTCTGAGGCTCAATTTATTGATATATTCTTCTATGTGTTGTTTCATTGAGCCATCCACCTCATCAAACTCACTTCTTAACGTGCTGCTGCTAGGAAATTAAGATATACGATGTATGCTTTATCCTCAACATCGAGGCTTACACCTCAGGACATTTCTTCTTGCGTAACAGTGAGGCACGCCCTCAAGTTTTCAACTTTTCTAATTTCTAATAGTGAGGACAATGCCACCACCTGTATTTAGTTGTTGCTTTGCAGCCTCATTTTAATTGGGGAAGACACCAGTTGGCCTTTCAAGAGTGTGGATATTCTTTCTTTTAGTGCTTACATAGCTTCTTTCATGTTTTATTGGCCCAACTGTATGACTGTATCTTCCTGATAATTTAACAAGCTGCATCCAAAATAATGCGTGTGCGGGAATAAAATGTTAACATCAGTGATCATACTTGACTTCTATGATTTAATATGCAGTGGTTGTATACCTGAATGTTTGTTTCAAAATTAATCAACTCACCTGTATTTATCACAGGTTGCAGGAGTTCCAGGGGTTACAGAGTCTCTCTTCCTTGCCAGACAGTCTGTCATCGCAGAAGCAAAGAAAAAGTCAACCGAAACTCCAATGCTCTATAAGTGTGGTGTGTGTGGGAAAGGGTACCGAAGTGCCAAGGCTCATTCTCAGCATTTGGAATCAAAGAGCCATTTGTTAAGGGCTTCACAAATGCCAAATCCTGATGACGATAGAAATGTTATAATCAGACCTCTCTCGCACCTGAATTTGGATAGCTCCTCTCATAAGGTAGAGGAGATAGATATTGATGAAAGTGATGAGAGTGAGTGGGAGGAGGTTGATCCCATGGAAGAAGATCCTTTGATGCAACTCAAGCTTAATGAACATACTTATAATGGGATTATGCAAGATGGTGATATGGATGACGAGGGTTATGATGAAGAGCTGGATCCATCATGTTGCTTCATGTGTGATTTAAAGCTTAGAACAATAGAAAGCTGTATGGTTCACATGCACAAACAACATGGATTCTTCATTCCTGATGTTGAGTATCTGAAGGATCCTAAAGGCTTTCTGACTTATGTTGGTCTCAAGGTATATAAGTCTGCTCACAAGTTTAATGCTCAATTGCTCATGCCCTGCTTTCATATGCATGCAGTGATTTGTATTAATGCATCCGCCCTGAAAAAGAGTCCTTTAAAAGTTATTTATGTCCAAAAAAGGATCTTTTCTAATATTTATTATATTGCATATGGTTTGAAAAGAGGTGTTTCAAATACCCTTCCAGTCCCAAAACTGTAACTCACCAGCCAGACACAAGATTTAAGAAAGGTAAAATGTGTGGTTGAGAATTATTAAGAAGAGAGAAATGTTAAATACAACAACAACATCTAAGCCTTAGTCCCAAAAGATTTTGGGGTCGGCTAACATGAATCGATACTTGATATCGGAGCCGAAAAGAAAAGAAAAATAAGAGAGAGAAAAAGATAAGGTAAAATAAAAAGGATAAGATAAAGATAAAAATGATAAAATAAAGAGGATAAAAAGAAAATATGTAAAATAAAGAATAAAAAGGTAACGACTTAAGGACATAACTTACATAAGAAGTATAAAGAAGATAAAAAGAAAAAAAGAGAGAAGGTGGGTAAAAATTTCTGGATAGAGGGTGTATGCTAAATTTAGTTAAACCGATATATCAATGTAGTTAGATGTTACGCATTCCAGTAGTTGTACTTTACTAAAGGTAAAACATTATACATTGATGGCTCTCTTTTTGAGATGGTGGACTGGTGTCAGTAGCGTGATGTTCATAGATATACTTCAATATGTTATTTTTTTCATATTTTTCTGGTTCATAGTTATAATTTTTTTTATGGTTGTACTTCATTTATTTTTGTTGATTTGTTGAAATCAGGTTAAGAGGGACCACTTTTGTCTCTATTGCAACGACAGATGCCATCCTTTCAGTAGTTTAGAAGGAGTTAGGAAGCATATGGAAGCAAAAAGTCACTGTAAAGTGCGCTATGGTGATGGAGGTGATGATGAAGATGCAGAACTAGAAGAGTTTTATGACTATGCCAGCAGGTAAAATCTTTTATAAATTTCTATTTTATTCCCTCCTTTCAAACTTATGCCTTTAAGTTTATTTGTTTGTTAAACTGAATTTAGCACATTAAGGTGTCCAGAATGTTTTATTTTTTTTATTTTTGAAAAAAATACATCATATAATTGAATTAGAAATAGGTTGTGGCTGAAATATGACTCCTTTTTCGAGACAAAAGTAAGTTTTGAAATAGGGCTTATTCATTTTTTGTGGGCATGGAAGGGGGCAAAGGGAGTGGTCTTTTCCCTTCCGATCCCCACAGTCCTACACCACCCAGATATAACCCCCCTTGTTGTTTCTGAGTGCTGATGTGTGCATAACCATTAATAAATAATTGCTCTTCATTGTTTCTTAGCTACGTGGACTCAAATGGAAAAGAGCTGGTTGCGTCAGATGACACTGGTTGTGGGGTTGAGCTCGGAAGTGGTGGGTCTGAGCTGATAATTAAGAAACGGACTGATAACCGATTGTCTACCAAAACAATTGGATCCAGAGAGTTTTTGCGGTATTACCGCCAGAAACTGAGGCCTACTTGCGAGGGCGATATTGCTCTCACAGCTGCATTAGCTTCCAGGTTCTTTTGGGCATTGTCTCTATTAGTTGGCTTTAACGATCATTATTATATCTCTATGAGAGCATTTGGTTCGCGTAATGCTAGGACACCTTGGAAAATGTGATAACTGAGAGAAGATAATATGTTATTATGAGAATGTATGATTACCTAGATAAAATGAGATTATAGGAATGTTCGAGTATTACCAGGCAGGTTTGGCTAGGATAATAAAAATGTAATACTAATTTGTTTAAAAAAACTTCAAGAGTTTGTGATTTAACAGCAGAAAATCACCAAAGTAATCTTACACTAGCTAAGAAGTCCAAGACAATCAGATTACCTTATTATTATCTCATTTCCAGCAGTATATTAAGATTACCATGGTAATTTCAAACCTTGAACCCAACAATGTAATTTACATTACCTTTTTGGTAATCTTATAACTTCAATGGAATTGGGTAATCTAACATTACCAAAGGAGTCTTAGTAAATCACTAAATTGAACCTAGCAGTGCCACCTTTAGAGTATGTATGGATCTGGGTAAGTGTTAGGCAAAGAAAAAAACATGATGGAAAGTTATTTTCGTTTACTGTGTTAGCTTGGAAAATGCAAAGGGAAACGAAATATGATTTTTCACATTTCTTTTTGTTATGTAGTCTTTATGTAAGAGACCTACATAAATAAAATGAGCATCAACAATTACCTAAAATAAGTGTAGGAGTTACAGCCCATCTTTTAGTTTAAATTTGTACGAGCATTCCTTATTATTTTCCGAGTTCCAACTTTTAGACTTCTTACAAGCAATGTAAATGTCTCTCCTTTCAGGTATAGAAGCATGGGGCTCGCAACCGTGCAGTCGAGAGAGAACATGGTTAAGATGAAAGTGCTGAAGGCCATGAATAGATCTGGTCCTGAGGCCATGCGCACAAAGATTGGTATTAGAAATAATGTCATTCGAGTCCTCCCAAAGAATGTACCATACTAAACCTCATCTATATTATTGTGCTAGAGATTTTCATGCTGGTCAGCTTTCATGTATGTCCGTGGTGTGGGTTGAACTAATTACTTCCGTGACTAAGAAAGTTGAACCTTTCATAAAGTCTGTCCAATATGTGCTGCTGCTGCTGTATTTGTCCATTTTTTCCATGAACGTTTGTGAGACTCATAATTTATAAGGTCGTGGCGATTCATGGTCGGTTGCTCATCAGTGTATGAGCTCCCAACATAAGTAGTATGTTGCATTGTCAATGGTCATTTTATGTCTTGACTCTTGAGCTTTGATGATATTTCGATTCTACACATTTGAAGTATCTTATATGTATACTTCGTGTCTCTATTTTCACGCACATTACAACTTTGTGTTATGGCATCAACATGAGTGAATGAATATACTTCGTATGTGATATTGCCCTACATGCTCTACACCCAAGTTTCCGGCATCTCTTGTGTAACTATATTAGATACTTTTTTACCGGTGGGCGTAGCTCAACTGGTAGCGAGTGAGTGCTACAAGGGTTAGGTCTCGGGTTCGAATCCCGGCAACTGCGATAAGAGGTTACTATGTTGAAGAATGCATAGGGCCTCTGCAAGTACCGGGGACGGAGCCCCACTCTCTATCTGTCAGGTTGTGATTATAGTCCAACTTACATCTTCTCATCGTGCTGTCCGGTCGGTGTTGGGGGACCCTCAGGGATGGGGTGTCATCCCTTTTTATTAGATAAATTTCTTTTTAGATCCCACACATTAATGATTAATGTGAAGTGCAAAGCACGTGATTTTTATATGCTCTCCAACAACGCATGCGATTTTTAAAAAATTATTGTGTTCTCTAATTATTAAAAGCTCTATAAAGTCACAAAATTAAAATTAAATTGTAATAAAAATTGATATAATAAGTAAATTAAGCCATTTGTGCTGGTCCCTAGTTAATTAAATACGGTACGGGAATTAAATGGTGTTTAATAATGTGTATGCATTTTATTCAGAAATATTAATTAAAAAACGGTCAAAAATTCATTGAAAAACGTTGACTTTTAAAAAACAGGTAAATACGTAGACGTGTATAATACGTTATTTGTTACAAAAATTCGGACAAAAAATACGGGTATTAGTTTGACCATTTGAATTATATAGGGAAAACTATCAAATAGACCCTGTACTATAACCAAAACGTCGAGTAGGCCCTCGTAGTCTAAAAACACCCAATTAGAACCTCAAACTCATGAAAATGATCAATTGAGCTTGTTAACCGGTGCTAATCAGTTTCCCAGTTAATTGTGTATTGCGTGGCATTTTTTCCGTTTTTAATTTTCTTTTTCCCTTGTTTTTCTTTTCCTCTTTTCTTTAAATTTTCTCGGGAAAAGGTGCAAATAGGCCCATGTACTAACAAAAAAAGTCAGATAAGCCCTTATTTAAGAGGCTCTGTCCGGCCGTCGTCATTTGAGCTGATTCCCGGTGGAATTTTTTGATGAAAATTTTTTAGCATCTTATTCATCAAGTCTAGTTAACTCATACCAAATTTCAGCTAAAACTTCAATCGGGAAGGCATTCAAATGAATTCTTGAAGATAACTGCACTTCTAACAGCGCAGTTATCTTCAAGAATTCATTTGAATGCCTTCCCGATTGAAGTTTTAGCTGAAATTTGGTATGAGTAAACTAAACTTCATGAATAAGATGCTAAGAAAATTTCATCAAAAAATTTCATCGGGAACCACCCCAAATGGCGATGGCCAGACAGAACCTCCTAAATAAGGGCTTATTTGACCTTTTTTGGTTAGTATATGGGCCTATTTGCACCTTTTCTCATTTTTCTCCTTACTCTTCTTCGTTCCACGATTGCCCACCAGTTACCTTCTTCTTCCCAATGACCAGCGCCTTTCTCCGCCCACCAAACAGTCGGATTTCGCTGCACTCCGCCGCCGGACTTCACAGCACCTAACTGACGGATTTCGCTACATGCACTCCGCCGCCGGACTTCACTGCACTCTTGCTGCCGGACTTCGCTGTACTTTAGATATACTTCCAAAAAATACTTCTCAATCTCTCTAAATAGTCTCAAAGGTATTTAAAAATATTTAGTACCCCATATCTCAACTTTCTCAAATAATATAATTTAATGTTACTTCAAATAATGCATATTCAAAATTCACACTTTAATCACATAATAACATATAATACAAGGAAACCATTTTGGATCGGCAGAGAAACTTACCTCGATCGGCAGAGAAACCACTTTAATCCATGATTATTATAAATTTGACATGGATTAATTGGATTGCCTTAATTAGGAAACGGGCTAACTAATAACAAGGATTAATTTAAGAATTTAATAAACAACATGGCCCTGTTAATCAACGGAATATAGGTGAAGTGGATAGATTATCATAGATATAAATAAATTAAACTGGACCAATTGATCTCAACCTTATAAGTCAACCAATTGTTGAAAGGTGGAAATTTAATATCTCCCTCCATTACCTTCTATTTTCGCATTTCCTCCATTCACTCTACTTAGCCGGTGCCTTCACTTAACTCCAAGAATCCGGCAAACTCTCCGGAGCGGCAGTGGCGGACCTAGGCATCGGAGGTCAGTGTAGTGTATGCACACATAGAATAGGACAAATTCCTGAAATAAGACTAAAATACTTCGACACATTATAAAATATGACCGTTATGTTTTTATTTCAAAAATATAAGTAAATATTGTCAGACTTGGAAAATAATGTCATGTTTAAAAAAATTGGTACTGCCAAAAATATGAGTAATTACTCATATTCAGGGAATAAAAATATAGCAGTCTTATTTTAGAATACACAAACATTTTTACTCATATTTAGAGCAATTTCCCTATAAAATAATAATTAATATATTATATTTCAATTTGAACTTTGCGACATTATAGAACTTTGAATGTATTTTTCAAATATGTAAAGTTTAGTTATAAAAATGACATAACTATCCGAAGGAAAATAAATAGTAAAACTACACTCGATTACAATTTAACAAATTGAAGTAGTAGATAATAGTACAATTTACAGCTACATGTTAAAATAATAATAACTAGACGACAAACCCGTGCGTTGCACGGGAAATCTAGGAACCCTTTGGTGCTCCATATATGTTTACGGTTTGTCAAATTTATCAACCATTTTAGTTTTTTCTCATATTTCGTATAATTTTTTCTGAGACAAAGGGATTATAAGTTTTTGAGATAACAAAAATAACGAATGTTAGCAAAGTTTCATGAGACAGAGTAAGTGTAAGTTTTATGATTTTTAATTTGTGAATGTGATTTTTCTAATTTGTAGTTACTAACTGTCACTGAGAAGTTGTTGTGTTCGTCATATTTTTATGAGAAAAATAATTAAAATACCTAAACTCTAAAGAAGCGTGAGATAAACACTCCAAACTTTCATATGTAATTTAAATACCCCAAATTTTATGTAAAATTTATTTAGGCAATATGGTCTGATCCTATATTATTCCTTTCAAAAATGTTATTTATGGTGTTAATTGCATAATTTAAAATAACAAATTAAAAATGTTGCAATTGTTCACTCTAATGGGGGCATTATTATTTATTTTGCAATGGAAGTTTAGAATGTTAATTGTATTTTTTAGAATGCTAAAATATTTTAAATTGTGAAACTTACAAAAAAAATTAACAATTTTGAAAGAAATAATACATGACTGGTGCTAAAAGAACTTTTTACACAAAGGTTGGAGTATTTAAATTATATATGCAAGTTTGGGGTGCTTAATTCACACTCCTTTTAAAGTTTGATGTATTTTAATTACTTTACCTTATTCTTATTGCTTAATGTTTATTTTTATTTTATTCAGACCAGATCAAATAAGGGACAATTCAAGTTAGATCAAATCGGAAAAATTAAGTTCACATGAGAAAGATTTAGATGTATAGTTATAGTTATAACTATAATTATATTTATAAATTTAATCACAATAATAGTGATGATAATAACAAAAATAACCACAGCAATAATAAACACTTAATTACATTAGCAATATTTAGATCTGAGTGAGATTGATTCAGATCAAATAAAAAAGATTCAAATTAGATATAAAAAAAAGTTTCTGATAAGCTCAAAAAAATCAGATCATATGAAATATTAAAAATTCAAATAAAAAAATTCCTATCCGGCTAATTGAATAAACCCTAAGAGAGTGTTTGCAAATACTTAAAAAAGCGATTCTCGACTTTTGGCTTAAAAGGCTAAAATTAGTGTTTCCGAATGACTTCTACTTAAATAAACGTTTCTCGACTTTTGGCTTAAAATTGCTCTTTACTTTTACTACTACACAAAAAGCGCATATTTTACCAAACACTGCCACCTTTACTTTTCGAAAACATTTTTTCTCTCAAGTGCTACTAACTTTTACTACTAATCACTTTTTCCAAAATAATTTCAAAAAGTGTTTTTTTAAGCAAAAACATTTGAAAAACATTTTTTTAATCTTCAAAAAAAAAACCTCTCAAAAAAAAATCCTCTCAAAAAAAAATCTTCAAAAAAAGTATTCCACTAATTATTATTATACGGAGTACTCAATTAGTTTTAGTATTACCCAACTACTTTAGCAAATACTACGTATTATTGAAGTTAAAATACTAATTAGTATTATGCATGTTTTCGTAACTGAAAGTGCATTGATGAAATATTAAGATAGATATTTAATTGAGACAACAATTTTTCACATGTTTTGGCTCCAAATAGATCCCACCTGAAATCCCACCATAGGATCTTTATAGGGCCGGCCATGGGGGGGGAGGTAGCCTAGACATTTGTCTAGGGCCTCCAAATTTGATAGGGCCTCCATTTTAAAAAATAATAATATTATATATACCTTAAATCTTTAATAAAATTAATTAAAATACTTAAAAATTAGTGTAGAACAAAAGATACGTTGATGCAAAAAATCAAATTATCAAGATTAACCATGTTCGGTGATATATTACAAAATAATGACAAATATAGATCTAAATAAGAGTGAATAAAATATGTCTTTTTATACTTTAGTGACTATAACTTTAATAATCATGTGTTAACTACTACCTCCCTCCCAAAAAACTTTATCATTTCCAAACATTTACACCTTAATTTTGATTAGTATAATATTATGTAAGTTATAAATTTTATACTTTTATCAAAGTACTTTTAACAAAGAACATTTTCATATAACTTTTATATTATAAATCATTTTCAATAAAAAGATATATCCGGTCGAAGTTTTGAAAATGACAAAGTTTTTTGGGACGGAGGTAGTATAATGCATATGCATAGACAATAATTCAATATCCTAATTCAAGTATATTTAGAGAGATAGTTTTGATGTGTACGTATATGATATAATGAGTTATAAATGTATCATTTTTAATATTTTATTATCAAATTGTCGGTTAAGAGGGTTAATTGTTTTCTAAAATAGAAAGTGAAAACATTTAGTTGAAATGTCTAAATTAGGACGTCCTTTAAATTTTTAGGCCCCAATCCTCCCCAAATTTGTAAAATAGTTATATATTTTTATATGTTAGAAGATTGTGTAAAAGATCATCAGGAAAAAACTAACCAAGCCACGTTAATATTTCTTTCTGGCTATGTCATTCATATTTGTTTCTTATTATAGTTTTGTATTTTTTTTACTAAAAAATATATTGAAGTTATACTCTCTCTTTTCCGCTAAAATTGTCTCATTTTTCGTTTTCAGCCTATGCATTAAGAATGTCACAGTCAAATTTGACAAAATTTGTGTGGTTCTAAATCATACTTACTTT